AACCTGGTCAGCATTGCTGCTATGAAACCCATAGCGACGAGAGGGTGAAGAAGAAGAGGATTAGATACCTTTCCCAAGAGTATTAGCACGATCGAAATGTAATAAATTCAAATGGAAAGTCAGGTCAGTCAATATGGCAATCAGTGAGATGGGGGAGGCAACATGTATTTTTTGATTTTTGACTGATGAGGCAGATGGATTTGTTTAAACAGAAGGTTGCCATTTCTGAAATTACATTAGACCAGTTGACCATCCAAGGGCTATAGAACCTGGTCAGTTTTGCTATTAACCCATATTTGAGAGGGTGGAAGAATTGGATTCATACCTTTTTCCCATATATATTGTGCATATAAGTGAATATAATGGATTTGACTGTAATTCGAACAAAAACTTCCAATTTTTAAACCAGAGCCACTATCCATTGCTCAACCATATCCTTTATTTTAAAAATTTTTTTTGTAGCATTTTTCCCTTCTATTTGCTTTTTCTTCCTTATTTTTTCAGTTCTTTTTTCATTCCATTGCTCTTTTCTCCTCACCCATTTTGCCTCCTTTTTCCTTTTTTTTCCACCTCTATTTATTTTTTTAAACATTAAATGATTGATTTTATTCTTTTCTGCAGACAGTTATGTGCCATGCATGATATACACTTTAGGTGATCATGAATCTTTTGATAAATGACTGACGAGGCAGAGTGAAAGATGTTAGTAGGTTGCCATTTCTTTCTGTGTTAGACCAGTTGCTATCCAAGGCTATAGAACCCGATCTGACCTGCTATTTGCCAATAGCTGGAGAGGGTGGAGAAGAAGAGGATTCATACCTTTCTCAAGGGTATTATTAGCACGTAAGTGAATGTAATGGATTTGACTGTAATTTGAACTCTGCTCTCCAATTCCTTAATCCGAGTCACTATCCATTACTCCACCATAAACAGTCAGAATGTATGGTTGTCAGGAAGAGAGACATCCCAAGATGCAAACTATAAATTGGGGATACCAAAATCAAGCAAGTATTATTAGTGGTATGTGCAGATATACTACTTTAGGCTAATTAAGCTGCAGAAAAATAATTGTATCTCCATATTATCTTGCATCCCTTGATAAAAAATTCATTATAATGCTAAATGTGAATGATTAATGAACATCAATCAAACGAATCAATCAATAATGATTGCAGGTGACAGACATAAATAATACAGAACACAACACAGAAGAAAAAAATGGAGTCGGTTCTTAAACAAGGACAAAAATCATTTGCATAAGCCAGTATCCTTTAACTGTATTGATAGCAAAATTGGAAATGAAAACAGAATCATAGCCATTTTTCAGTGCATCTACATCATGAAATTGTAATAAAAAAGGTTTAAAAGTGTGTTTAATGCCAATACTATGGAAAAACTGCCTCAGCCCCCTCGCCACTTCCCCTTTTGCAGATGCCTCAGACACCAAGCAATAAACCCAGACCCCTCTTGAAGCCAAGACAAGGTAGTGATAGAAAGCAAAAAGAAAAAAATCAACTGTCAAAAAGACAAAATACATGGATAATGTTCTACCATCATCGAGAATGCCATGAATTTTTTGTCAATCATAATGAACAGATATTCTCTCAAGAAGGCCACTTGATTTGAATGGCTATTGGAAATTAATCTCACCCCAGACCTGAAATAGAAGTCATATATACAATCATTTCAAAAAGTTGGAATTTGCCTCTAGAAAGAAATATTTACACATGGCCAGTTGTATGTTGTATGCTCAAGAGTAAGAAATCCTAAAATTTTGTAAAGACATTTTCTTAAAAAATATTGTTTACAATGCAGTCCTATCAAATTAAATTAAAGAAATTATTAAATCATGTATTAGTGTTTTTGTCAAAATATTTTTCCAAACACCTTATTCAAACTTCATCAATTGGTTTGCGAAATTGAATGAAACAGAGTCTGTAAATCCTGACAAAAAATGTTAGTGATAACTTCAACAATACTAAATACTGTGAGAATTTGAAAAAAAATTCTAATTCCAATAAAAGAGCAACATTATATAATTAATTTCATTTTGTGCTTGACAGTAGTGAATATGTAAACTAATGCCCTTTGGCACTGAACATAAAAGTCTTAAAGAAATTAGGCTTAAAATAAACATGTTGAACTTACAAATTTAGACATGAATTATAATGTTTTTAAATTTCATTAAAATGCTAAGCCTTTTGCAGATTGCAAACTGTCAAATACAGGAATTGCTGTTTGCAATTTAAATTAGAAAAAAAGATCATATTTTAAGAAGGATTAACTTATGAAAATAAAATTCAGAGAAAACTAGATTAAAATTTCAATTTCATTTCCTTTTACTAAAAATTATTTTCAATACAAACAGTGAAAGAAAAACAGCTAAGACTTACAAATTAACCTCTCAGTGAATTATCCCAAATATTTGAATCCTTAATGGATTATCCTGAGTACAGGCAATTTTATTTATATATATATATATATATATATATATATATATATAAATAAATATGTTTGGGGGTAGCAACCTTCCTTTTAAACATGTTTCGTTGAATATGGCAGATAAGGAAAATTTTAAACTTTTTATTTAATTTTACCAGTATTCTTACAATTTTTCATTTGATCAGAGTAAGGGAATGAAAAATTGTCTATATTGTCAATTTTCCCAATACACACACACACACACACACACATGTATATAAAATGCCTTAAAAATCCATATTGGTTATAATTTATTTCATGAATATTGTTATATTCATTCATCAGACTTAATATTTTTATAAAAAGATTTTTCTTAAAAATATTCAATCTGAAGATATGACTATAACAACATTTATGAAATAAATTATAGGATTTTTAATCTGAAGACTGTTTATCTGGTAAGGTTGGAACTGCTTAGTGCTGTTGTAACCTAGAAAGAGTTACTGAATGAGGAATAACGAAAATGGAGGTTGGAAATGAAACGGTAATCTTTATAACATCAACAAAATACAATACTCGCCAACAGCGTGAAGTAGATAAACATATCGATAATGTCATTATTTTCTCTTCAAGTTACATGTTACCTATTTCAGTTTTCAAGTGATGTAGTTTCTGTTATTTGATCCAGTTCTTTGTTTGGGAATCTGTAGCATCAGTCCAAGAGGTGTGAAGAAGGATAGTCATAAAAGAAAGAACAGTATAACCTCTGTCCCATAAAAGTTGTTCTATTTAGCGCTGGGCTTGGCAACCTTTTGCAGAGAGTGGACCAGAAAGTTATGCAGTGTCTTGGAGGAGAACCATGATATCAAATGTACTATAATAAATTGTCTTGACTTCAGACCACTACATTCAGAAGGCTGCCTTGTTCTGGAGGTTTAAAAAATACGGTAAGGTTAAACAGTTTCCTATTTCTCCAACAACATTTTCAAAAACCATCATTTAAAAATTTTCAAAGACTGCTTTTCAGAGTGAGCAGTCTTAGCCCTCACCTGGAAGAATAATGTAATGATTTTGTTTTCTCCACATTTGACCTTATAGTGCACTAAGCTGATATTGATGCCATTGGAAACAGAATAATGCTTACTTTTGGATAATCAGTGTTGTTTGAATTAAAGTTATATATACAAACAAAATACAATTAGAAATTGCAAATTATTTAATTAGGCACTTGTTTCTGCTTATTGTTCAATAACTTCTCCACATCAGGTGAAATATTTGTTGATAACAGAAGCAAAACACCATCCAGGTGGTTATCACCCATCCTTGTTCTTAAATGACTTCTAGTATATTTCATTTTCAAAACAAATTGTTCCAAGCATATGTATTTCCAAATAGCGATCCCATCATTTTCACATTATTCAATGTTTTCCACTTGGCAAAACATATTTATTGTAGAAGTTAACAGTGGATTCACCACATTGTAAATTGATTAACTCCAACTGATATTTTTCTGCCACTTGCTCCATAAATTGTCTAGGTGTTAAGTTGAAGGGCCTGGCCAAAAATCCTTTCGGACTGGGTGTGGCCCAGAGGCTGGAGGTTGCTAACTCCTGATTTAGTGTATGAAATGTACATGCAAATCTAACAATGATTATAGGACAGAGGTAGTATGTGACTGATACTCTTCTACATGATACTCTTCTATACCTTTAGTTAATTAATAAAGAAATTAAACTTTTTTTTCCGAAGAGTCTGTCACACATAAAGACAATTTTTAATAAAAAGTAAATACTTCTTTTCAGATTTTATATTTTAGCTATGACTAAAAAGGGATAGTAACAAAAGAAATTACTCACCAAAGAATAATATTTCGGCATATAGGAATCGTATACAAGTCCAGTCAGACTTGTTTGTCCCAGTAAGCTTTCGTTGTGGTTGGTAATTTGGATGAAAAGTCAGAACCTGAAAAAGAAAACTGAAAACATTAGAAAACAGAATAGCAAATACCAATGAGAGGTCTGTTACTTTCACCTTGGGCTTGTATGGAAGCCTGATGAATCATAATCTGAAATATCTATGGAAGCCTAACAAGATCAACATCAAAAGTTTGAATATTTATTAAGATGAAAGATTTCTTTTTCTTATTTTACTTTCAGATAGAAGTTCTAGATTGAATCATTTTTTTCTTTAGGTTTTCTTTTTCCATGTTTTTTTTTATTAGTTTTGTACAAATATTTCAAATCCCTTGGAATTTACTGTCAAATTTGCTCAATATTTTATAATCTAATCAATATGAATATAAACATCACTCAAACAACACTGATCATCCAAAAGTAAGCATTATTCTGTTTCTAATGGCATCAATATCAACTGTGCTTAGCTTAGTACACTATAAGATTAAATGTAGAGAAAACAAAATTGTTACATCATTCTTCTTGTTTGGGGATAAGACTGTCTACTCTGAAAAGCAGCCTTTGAAAATGTTTAAATGCTGGTCTTTGACAATGTTAGAGAAATAGGAAACTGTTTCAGCCACAAAGCAGGCACTGTTTTGAATTGCTCCAAATGGAGTGCATTACCAAAATTAAGAAGTAAGAAACAAAAAAAGAGAGGAAAGAATGAAAGAGAAGAAAAAATGAAAGGAAATAAAAGGAGGAAAGAATGAAAGAGAAGACAGAGGGGAAAGAAAGAGAGGGAAAAATGAAAGAAAAGAAAGAGAGGGAAGAATGAAAGAGAAAGAGAAGAGAGAGTGAAAGGAAAGAAAGGGAGGAAAGAATGAAAAAGAAGAGAGAGGAAAGAAGGGAAAGAATGAAACAAAAGAAATAGAGAAATGAATAAAAGAGAAGAAAGCGAAAAATGAAAGAGGAATGAATGAAAGAGAAGAAAGAATGAAAGAGAAGAAAGAGAGCAAAGAATGAAAGAAAAGAAAGAGAGGGAAAAATGAAAGAAAAGAAAGAGAGGAAAGAATGAAAGAGAAGAAAGAGTGGAAAAAATGAAACAGAAGAAAGATGAATGAAGAAAAGAGAAGAGATGAATGAATAAAAGAGAAGAAAGAGAAGAATGAAAGAAAAGGAGGAATAAATGCAAATGAATATAGAGAGGAAAGAAGGAAAAGAATGAAAGAGAAAAAAAGAATGAAAGAAAAGAAAGAGGATAAATTAAAGAGAAGATTAGAAAAAAAATGAAAGAAAATGGATGAAAGAGAAGAAAGTGAGAAAAGAATGAAAGAGAGGAAAGAGAAGAATGAGAAGAAAGAATGAAAGGAAAGAATGAAAAAGAGAAAAGAATGGAAGAAAAGAAAGGAAGGAAAGAAAGAGAGGAAAGAATGAAAGAGAAGAATCTGTGTAAACAATGAAAGAGAAAAAAGTGTGGAAAGAAAGAAAGAGCAAAGAGTAGAAATGGAAGAAAGAATGGAAAAAATGAAAAAGAGCAAAGAGTGAAAAAATGAAAGAAAAGAAAGAGGAGACAAAGAAACGACAAAGAAGAAAGCAGGGAAAGAGGGGACAGAGAAGAAAGGAAAAAAAAGCTGAAACTATGAAAAGAAATAGGTGCCATGCCTCTTCAAGATGTAGATGATCATGGCTCTTTCCACATTATTCTTCTATTTAATATCTGGAAATTGCACTGCCATAATTGTTCTTGGTTCTTGTCATCTCTAATTTTAAATTCAGAGTTGACTTTCTCTTAGACCACGAGTTCCCAACCGTTTTTGTGTCATTGGCCACTTTCACATGTAAAAATTTTCCATCACAGACTTGTATAGTAAATATTCAAAAGCATACCAAAATTGTTTGGTAAAAGTTTGTTACTGGTTCATAAACTGACTTTATGATGTAATTAAAAAACTACCAAAATGGGGTAACAAATAATGCCACTGCTTCTACTGCTACTACTACTACTGTATTAAAGAACAAATGAAAGCAAGCTTGACTATTTAAATCTATGTATAACTTAGTTTTATGGTTATGATTAGCATTGCAAGTATTGGCAAAAATTAATTTTTGTTCATAATTATAAAATTAAAAACAGTATACACTACTATGACTCTTCTCAAAACTATAGAAAATACCAAATTAACCCTTGTTTACATGAATTTTTATATCTTATCTTGGAATGTGACCCATTTATTCCCATTGAGACTGTTGTTTTTTTTTGTTTGTTTCTTATACAGGTTCTTTGCATGTCTCATTTGAATATTTTTTTAACTAGCATATGTTGAAATACTTTTTTACTACTCAAAATTCTATATCACCCACCAGTTTCTGTTCAGTTACTCATTGGCCACCCAACAGTTGAAATCGCCCGCTAATGAGTGATATAGCCCAAATTGGGAAGCCCTGTCTTAGACATTTTTTATTTAACACTTGGAGGTTAAAGAGAGATTCATACATTTCCCAAAGACATGAGTTCATAATGAACATTAACTGTCTCTGCTGGAATTTGAACTCTGAATGCTGATTTCATTTTCCATAATGTTAATCATTGATTCTTCTATGTACCATGTCCCTTCAGGATATTGGTGAGCATGGCTCTCCACAATTTACTATCCTTTGTAGCTCTTAATAAATTTTGTGTTTTTGTTATCTCTCCTAAATCTTGTTTCGTCATCTATTTACTCAAGTTTGCTTGGTAAGTTATGTATTATTTTCCTCTCTCCCTCTTACCATCAATCTGTCCTGTGAGTATCCAATTTCCCAAGCCCTCTTTCCTTCTTATGTACTCTAGAAACTCTCTCTTCCTGATGTTAAATATAAGTCTCCTTTTATTTTCATTTTCTCTAAAACTTTGTTGTTGCTCACATATTCTGCCCATGGTATTCTCAGCATCCTTCTGTAGAACCACATTTCTGTTGCTTAAAGTCTTCTTCATTTCTGAGAAGATTGTCCAGCATTCACTGCCATATAGGAAGAGTGATATTACATAATACTTCCATACTCTTTTCTTTGTTTCTTATAACATTTTTCTCTTTTTAATACTTTGCATAGCTTTTGGAAGGCATTTTTGCCCCCCCCCCCAATGTGTCAATTTTGAAATTTGATAGGGTATCTTTCCGATGGATAAAATTGGAGTTCATAACCACTTACATTCTGACAAACTTTTATTTGTTAGGATGAAATGAATCTGTTTATTGCTTTTCTTTGAGACAGGAGGTAACAGAAATTTAGTTCAACAAAGGATGCTGAGAATACCATAGACAGTGCATGTAAACAACAAAGAAGTCTTGTAGGGACATTATTATTATAAATAAATAAATAAAAATAAAATATAAAATAATAATGAAAATTATAAATAAAATAAAACAATAGCATAAAAACATTGTATAAAATAAATTAAATAAAAAATAAAAACAATAAATGTCTCCCAGCATGCAACAAGAACTGTTTCTGCTGGAAATACCCCACCAAAAAAAAAACATTAAATTCAATATCTTCACCGCAAACCTTGGTACAGGCAACACGTGTCCAACTTCTCTCTGTGATATGGCTTGTAAGACTATGGAGTAACTTCTCCCTTTTATCACATGTACCATAAAACAATTGTAACCTAAACAATACACACACAATGCATGCAAAAATATAAATAAACTGTATAAAATTAACATACAATTTACTATGCTTTTCCTGTTATTTTTTATTTTCTGTCAAGTATGCTTTTATCTCTGTGAACAAGAGGCTAATTTCTTCTGCTATGATGTGAGTGATGTAGGGACATCATTATTATAAATAAATAAAAATAATGACACTCCAATTTTAAGAAAAATAGGCACATATTCAGAATCAGAAAGAAACAGCTGAAATTCCTTGGACACATAATGAGGAAGAAAGGCTTGGAAAATTTGATGCTTACAGGACATACTGAAGACAAGAGAGATAGGGGAAGGCAACAACCTGATGAGGTTGTGTGAATGGATGGCAAAACAGGGTGGGGAGGCGATCTAAGCATAACTTAGATGTAGCACAAAGCTGAAATTATAGGTTGGTTGGTTGGTTGGTTGGTTGTTTTATTTTATGGCATATCAAAATCTCAGTGGGTCATTTAATGCCAATAAAATTTTGAAATAGATTCATAGCAATAGTTTGGTAAAAAAGGTCAAAAATTTATTTCTGGTAATAATTTTTTTACAAAGCATTTCTGGTATTAAAACCTATTTTTACACTTTCATAGTGATTTAACCCCACTTTCAGGGTTAACTATTTGCCCATAGTTGGAACCCTAACAGGTGCTACCATCCCAGTTCAGAGTAGACCTGGGAACACCAACAATTAAGAGGTGGTTCCATGCTCATCAAAACCTTCTGATCAAAGGCCTTGCTGTTGGACATAGTTTATCGTCTTGTCCAGGATGCGGATGTAGTTTATCGTCATACCCAGGATGGTGAAATTATAAGACACCCAACAAGGTTCAAACTCACTACTCAGTTGTAATTGTTCTTATGGGACAAGCCTGCTAAACATTACACCATGTCGAAGTGGCCCCCAAAGAAACAGGGTAAAGAGCAATGTCAAAAAAAAATGTTACTAAGAACTATAAGGGATAGGAAGTTGTGGATGTCCATGATTTCATATGTGAAGAAGAGATACAGCACATAGAAGATCACTGTCTCCTGTTTGCAGTAGTCTTTACCTCAGGAAAGAAAGAAATATTATTAATATTTTTTTTTTTTAGGTGTTTATCAGCTTACATCTCTATCTATAAAAGGCAGGATGTATGTGTGTGTGTGTGTGTGTGTGTGTAATGAATGCACGGCTGCAATTTTCGACGGATTTGCACCAAAATTTACATGCACAAAGTTAGTGGAAAGGCCAAGACTGACTTTGCATTTCCCAACTCCCATCAATAGTAGAAAGAATCGATTTTTTCATGCTTCTACGGCAGTTTTCATGTAGTTTGCGGCTATTTTGTACTGACCAGAGTGAAAGCCAATAGCTGGCTGCCAGGAATAGGCAGGAAAATTCTATTGGCCAGCGTGAGAACTAACAGCTGACTGACACAAATGTTAACTAGCATCGATAGCTGCATTCGTCACAAGTGCGAAAATTTTAAATCTGCATGGCACTTTACTCCAATTGGCTCATTCGCTTACTTAAGCTCAATGTTGATTCTAATTCCGCAGAACTGGGTTGGGTGTGAAAAAGTATTTATTGTTAACATTCTTTTTTCATTCGGTTTTTCCAGTTATGAGTCCTTTTTTAAAGCTGATCGTTTTGTGTTCATTTTGTTTAGTTCTTTTTTCGTAACAGATTTAATGTTTAGTATAGAGCTTAGAAAAAATTTGCAGTATGAGATAGGCAAGAAGTAAGGCATGTAGCAACATCAGCATGGCAAAGGGCACTCCTTTAAAGGCAAGGAAGGGCAAAAATATTTTAAGTCAAGTGATAGCGATTGCTGTATGAGTCGTACGATGTTTTTGAATCAAGCACGAGCAACGCCCATCCATGCTGCTCGTATATAATATGGTACATGACTTTAGCTTCCATGTTATAATGGGTCATCCAGAATATTCCTAGTTCCCTCAACTATTTCCACAGTGAAGCATTGTTTCAGCAGGAATGAACAATAACTGGCATCAAAGACAAAATAACAATAATCAACAGGTATCTCATATCAGCCAAACAATGGACACTTGATGATAGCCAGAGTGTACTTGGTTGAAACGTGTCTATGACAACAACAAAGACAAGAACAATATTTCAAAATGATTCAAGTATATTTCTACAAGCATACCCTTTTAGTACAATGAGGAAATGCTTACAAGGAGGATGGGTCACTTACTGGCTGTCAGCTTCAGTTAATTGTTATTGACTTCCAGCCCTGAAAAGCCAGCAAATAATATTTACTCGTGTTTGGTATGTCTACTGTCAATTCTAGCTTGAAGACAAATCTGTACAGCTCATGATTCTTGGAGTCAACCTCCTATTCATAATACTAAAGCAATATGAAGGAGTACTGAAAAATTCTTGGCCTAACCAAGGAGATAGAACCAAAAATAATTTTGATATTTGGTCAGATTTTGGAAAGTAGGTTTGTCAGACAGAACTTTTCAGCTCCTACTTATAGCAGCAATATTTAGAATTTGTTTTATTTTTTTAACTGTGTCTTAAGTAAGTATATTTAAACATTCATCAGAAGCTATGTTAATATGCCATAGCTTTTCAATTTTTGAATATAATAATTTTTTTTCTTTTGTTACTTTTAACCTCTTCATGGATTTCAAGTGAAGCAAAATTTTTAAAAACATGACAATTTGATTGATTCAGTTTGCTCTTAGCTGAAACAATGCGAGGTAATATCTGACAGTCACAAACAAATCTGTAATATTCAATAGAGATAAGAATTCACAACAAAAACTGCTCAGGTCAGACGAAGCATAAATAAAAATCATTAAGAAATAATACAATTGAAAAGGAAAAGAAGACAAACCAAAAGACAAAAGTCACACTGTGGGTTGATATGATGTATGCAGTCAATATTTGATATTAAGTAGATGATATTGCATTACGGCTTCAGGCACACTGAGATTAGATGAAATGGAAGCAATAATAATGACCATTATT